TTTCATGAGCAACGCCTATTGTGCTTGGAATTTAATAGCTGGAGCTATTATCCGAAGCATACTTTAATAAGCATGATTTAGCCAGCTACACCATGTATCTTCATTGCTAAATCACTAGAGGTAGCGTTGTTTTCTGTGCGTAATGATGCTAATTTCTTGGGATCAGAATGTGGAGGTTATTTTGAAAACTTGGTCTAATGAGAACAGGACTAGAAATGTCTGGATGGCTGCTTTCTACTATCCAGAGAGAATGCATATTTCATGGGAGTGCTCTGATCATACTGTACATGTAGTCTGGTCTCCAGGAGCAAGTTTTCACTCTGCCTCTCTCTCTCTCTCTCTCTCTCTCTCTCTCAATGAGACGTTTACATGTACGTGTACATATGATTACTTCTCATTGCTACCAATTGGAAAGGATAGTCTCCATTCTCCAGACCTGCTCTCTTTTCGTCTCCGAGAATAATGAGAACATGGATAGTCATGACGCAATCAAATCCATACCATTTTCACATCTCCAGTAGATCCCAATATTGGATGCACACATGTTATTCTTAGTCTGAATGATTTTACCTTAAATGAAGTCAATAATTACCATAGATTGATGATGAATGTAGTTCTTCTGTGAAAGTGGTGTAGATATATGTTTGTATGAAAGAAAAGGAAATATTTAAAGAGAGGGAGTGTGTTTATTCAAATTGATTTCAATGGCTTAAAGATAAAGTTGAGTTCTGGTAATGCGATTTAATTGTGAAAGAAAAGGTGTGGAATGGATCAGAGAAAGTTAATCATGTAGCATGTAAGTATTGGTGTGTACTGCAAGGTTCTGGAGTCGTCAAAATAATAATAAATTTGGCCCAGTCTTGTTAAAGTAACAAGCACTGTACACAGACAGATGTATATGGGACTGCACAAACAGTGCCAGGCCTACTTACACATGTACCTTGATTTCCTTATCTTTCTATGCTCATTACTCAGCCAGTAAACATTTTCTACCAAAATCGTTTGGCAAATGACATTTATTTGTAATCTTGAACATTCAGTGTAAGTTTTGTTTGATTCTGTGGGAATTAATTTTCTCTTTTTTTTGACAGAACTCAAGTTTATCTTTAAAACAGCTCTCCTAGCTTCCATTGAAAACAGATTTCATGAATCTGCCTTAGCTGCCCGCATGCCAGGGATGTGAACGCATCCAATTAAGGACTATCTCTTCAGGGAAATCACTGTAGATGTGCTTTATCACGTCAAGCATGTCATTTGATAATAGAGCTATCCATCTAAGACCACATGTATGCAGCCACATGAACAAGATCAGATTTTAAGATGTCATTTTAATGTGATTTTCACATGGATTTTAAAGCTGTGCTCAAGAAGGATTCCATTTTCCTTTTCTCACTCAGTACTCATTCTCAAATATCAAATCATTTTTTCGATTTAATAGTCTCTTAGCCAGACTATGTTTTAAAAAATCAGACTATTTTAAAGAAGGCATAAATTGATTAAATGTAGTATTGAAGCCAGACTAGAAGATTAGGTTCTTTGTTTTCATTTTCAGAAGGAGAAACCTTATTTATTTGTCAGAATTATTAGCCATATTCACTCTTGAAGTAATAAGCCATAGGTTTTATTTCAAATTACAAACCCTATTCCGAATTTACCAACCTCTACAGACTAATTAAAGTTTGGCTCGATAAATGAGCCTATATAATATATATGAAGCATGGGATAGACAAATGTTCAGAATAATGAACCTTCAGAGAAATGAGCCTTATCTAAAATATCCTTACTTAACTTCTATGCATGTCATGCATGGCTCAACACTAACAGGTACTCTATGCACGTGGGGGTGCTGTACATATACTTCTGGCAACAAATTCTTGTTGCACGTATTTATGGTTAGGGTTGTAAACTTGCAATTTTTTTTTTTTTTAGGGTTTGGTATAGTGTTTGTCCCAGGGTTGAAGTTTAGACTTCTGTTTGTGTAGGACATTGGTCGAGGGGCAATTGTCACTGGCCTACAATGTACATACAGTATATGTGTCGTACAACTTCAAATGGGCTCATAAATTTGAACTTTTATCCCAAAAGACTTACAGATGGGGCGGGAGGGAGGGTGGGGGGGGGGGCTCATGAACACAGACCTTCAACATGTCAGTCCCGACCCCCAGTGAAAAGAGGTTGGTTCGGAGCCCTGTGCATCGTTTTACATACATGTACATTGTAACCGTCATAAGTACAACGTGAACGACATTCTTTTGAAAAGCGTGTTACAGTTGTAAATTTATTGAATCCACACGTTTCAACGGGTTGTGGACGTAAGTTTACTTAAAACGCTTTGTGGAACGCTGCCCTGGTGGCCAGCATCCTAGGTAAGGTGTCAGAATAAAACGCCATTGATATGCAGAGGAAATCACTGTTGGTGTCTGGTTTCCATTTCGTTGCTCCCTTAATGCTCTTAGTATCAAATACTGCAATTTGCGGTAATGGATCTGAGAGGGGCTGTAATTACTTATCTAAAAAGGTCAGTCTTCATGGGTATGGGGCTTGGGTATACGAGCATTCTAAATAATTGAATACTTGTACTGGTACACTTAACCTTTAGACTACGGTACTGGATAAATCACATGGGTTTAATACAGGACCAGCATGGTTTCAGGAGGTAATGGGTTAAATATAATTTGAATGATAGATCTTGCACGCATACGCATAGTAATCAGCAATTCTGAAAGAAGAACTCATATTACCCCAACGTATTCTGTCCACTTTATAGTCACATGAACATTTAAAAATGCCAGCAATATTATCAAGTGTTCATTGATAATAGAGCACAGTTGCATATGGTGTGCACATGAACAGTATCATTCTCCTTTTTTAAAAGTATTTCTTATTGAAAACATGCATGTCATTTTTCTGAGGTATGAGATAATACTAATAGATCAAAATCACTAAAACATACAGTGACATTTAACCGATTTGCAATATTACGACCAATTTATATTTTAAACTTTTCAATTAATATAACTAATTGAAATAAATAAAAACTTAGATACATAAATAGAATTCATGCTCATACACGTACATATGAAGCATCTCACATCTACCAGTACTGGTTTGCGCATGAAAAATCTACTTCTACTTATTATAATATTTCTGAATACAAATATGCACCCCTAATCCCTCAATCTATATCCATTATTTTGCCAAGTAGCCATTATAATTTCCTGGATGGTACTTTGAGATATGTCAATCACCTTTGCTTCATCCTGTAAACATGGCCTACCCTGTGCTCTTATTACCCTCTGATATGTACTGACTCATGTACTTGATACGTAATGGGGGTATCATGTGGCTCTCTTGTTTCAAGGGTTCATTCAGACTTGAGAGAATAAATGACTCGGATGAAGTACCAACGTAGCAAAATTAAATAAGATCATCTTAAAAACACTTCATATTTTCTGTATCTGTATCAATTTCTGTAACATACATACACACATGTTGATTACAGGAAGGAGTGATTTTTGTGTACATGTGGAGGGGTTTGGAGGGGTTTTAAACCTCCATAGTGGATTATGGAAGCAGTTTACGTTGTCATGTCTGAACAGGGCTTTAGATACATGTAGGCTGGCTGAATGCTGGATGAGATGGGTTTCCATTGGCTTCCATGCATGCCCTGAGATGGAGATGATACAGTGTGCTCTTGCACATGAACATGTACAACAGTTAACAACATAATTATTCATACCTTACCAAGGTTTGATTGTTTTAAAGGCCCACCGTACTACTTGTAGCTACTTGCTCCCTCTATAGAAAACAATGTCTAATCGGTGACCATTGGTCCCCCATGATCCACTTTTTCTTATGTTCATTGAGAGCTGAGTTGATGAGATAGCCAGCTGTCAGTGACCTTCCTGGGTGGTCTAATCCCTCCTCGCCAAACTAGTGCAGTGGGTCTTTAAAACTTTGTTTGGGGGAAGATTGGTTTGTCCTGGTTGATGTTACTTGAGCATGAGACAAGCAATTGTAAGAATAATTACATGAGACAATTTACAACATTCCACTAGTCCAGCTTTCATTCTTTAGTTAGCTGTATGTGGTCTATAGATGATTCAAATGTTCAAATGGATGCGTGCATGTTTGGGTAAGTGGGTGCCAACCTCCCTCCCCCCCCCCCCCCTCCCCTCTACACAAAAAGGGATAAATACAAACATAAATAAATAAGGAAATAAATCAAATTTTAAAATTGGGGGTGATGAAAAGTAAAAAAAATGAAAGTGAAAGAATATAAGAAGATGAAACAAATGTATTAGTGTGCGAAACTACAAAATGTATGCGTAAACCATACGACAAAGTAAATGGGCATAATATAATCTGAAGATTATTGAAGGGCTACAATGTTGTTACTGGCTACACAATGAGCAACTATTATAATACTGCTTTCCTTGTGTGGGTCCTTAATATCAAGGGAATATACTGTACAACATTGTCTAAAAGCTTTATTATGCTGATCAACTTTAAGTGTGTATACATATCTATTGTTGATTTTTATGTGCATTCATTATATTCTCCCTTTGCTTTGCAAAGAGCTATTGACTGGGCATTATTTTGACTATTGCCCTGTGATGAGATAGCAGTCGTTAGCCAGTTCTATATTGCCCTGTGATGAGATACATGTAGCACATTAGCAGTCAATCTACCGTAGTCAGTTTTATGCCTGCAGTACATGTACATGTATGTGCTCAATCAGAAACTTGTAATCTTTCATACTGTACATTATATGACGAGAAAAATGTGGAGTTTTATTCATGTATGTCGATAATAGTAATGTAGATGACGTTGCACATCCAACCACTAGTATTTTACAATTTAAATATTGTGATGCAACATCAAGCACAGTAATATATACACGTACATGTATGAGAGTCTGCAAGCCAATGTTATAATATGATGCCTTTTGATGGTCAGTGAGTGACTTTTTTTTCCTTTCTCTTTTCTTGTTCTTTCAGTGACATGTTCAGCCCAGACTGGTATAACTGGTACAACTGGACCTCCTGGTACAGGTATGAGATCTCAAGTTTTATTATTATCTATCCTCTCATTACTACAAGCAGAATCCCATCGTCCTGAATATATATAGGTGTTGTGTTTGTGGGTGATGCCTTGTAATGTGTCCTTAAAATACATGGACAAAAAGACACATCGAATGGGGCACACTGCATGCATAGAATTTCCCTTGTGGGCTTCTCTCCCCCTCCCCCAATCTATAAACATATTTCTTGATATTCCACTGTACAGTATGAAATGTATTGTAATGATAATCCTTTGAACTTTCTGTATGATAATAGGCAGAGGGAGGGAGTAACCGTACTTCTTGTACTGTAGATGGGTTTAACTATATAGTGCCGTACACTTGCCCCCACTTTTCTCATGTTGGTGCACAGTAAGCTACATGTACATGTATCTGTACATACAGTACTTACACTCACCTGTGTTAGTGACTTCATCAGTGCTAGCTACATACATGAAGCAAGAGTTTGTTATATATTGTCATTCATTAAACTTCAAACTCAAACTCACTTATCCCTGACCCAAACCAATATCTCTGTCACTTATCCCTGACCCATACCAATATCTCTGTCACTTATCCCTGACCCATACCGATATCTCTGTCACTTATCCCTGACCCATACCAATATCTCTGTCACTTATCCCTGACCCAAACCAATACCTCTGTCACTTATCCCTGACCCATACCAATACCTCTGTCACTTATCCCTGACCCATACCAATATCTATGTCACTTATCCCTGACCCATACTCTGACCCATACCAATATCTCTGTCACTTATCCCTGACCCATACCAATACCTCTGTCACTTATCCCTGACCCATACCAATATCTCTGTCACTTATCCCTGACCCATACCGATATCTCTGTCACTTATCCCTGACCCATACCAATATCTCTGTCACTTATCCCTGACCCATACCAATACCTCTGTCACTTATTCCTGACCCATACCAATATCTCTGTCACTTATCCCTGACCCATACCAATATCTCTGTCACTTATCCCTGACCCATACCAATATCTCTGTCACTTATCCCTGACCCATACCAATACCTCTGTCACTTATCCCTGACCCATACCAATACCTCTGTCACTTATCCCTGACCCATACCAATATCTATGTCACTTATCCCTGACCCATACTCTGACCCATACCAATATCTCTGTCACTTATCCCTGACCCATACCAATACCTCTGTCACTTATCCCTGACCCATACCAATATCTCTGTCACTTATCCCTGACCCATACCGATATCTCTGTCACTTATCCCTGACCCATACCAATATCTCTGTCACTTATCCCTGACCCATACCAATACCTCTGTCACTTATCCCTGACCCATACCAATATCTCTGTCACTTATCCCTGACCCATACCAATATCTCTGTCACTTATCCCTGACCCATACCAATATCTCTGTCACTTATCCCTGACCCATACCAATACCTCTGTCACTTATCCCTGACCCATACCAATACCTCTGTCACTTATCCCTGACCCATACCAATATCTCTGTCACTTATCCCTGACCCATACCGATATCTCTGTCACTTATCCCTGACCCATACCGATATCTCTGTCACTTATCCCTGACCCATACCGATATCTCTGTCACTTATCCCTGACCCATACCGATATCTCTGTCACTTATCCCTGACCCATACCAATATCTCTGTCACTTATCCCTGACCCATACCAATATCTCTGTCACTTATCCCTGACCCATACCAATACCTCTGTCACTTATCCCTGACCCATACCAATATCTCTGTCACTTATCCCTGACCCATACCGATATCTCTGTCACTTATCCCTGACCCATACCAATATCTCTGTCACTTATCCCTGACCCATACCAATACCTCTGTCACTTATCCCTGACCCATACCAATACCTCTGTCACTTATCCCTGACCCATACCAATATCTCTGTCACTTATCCCTGACCCATACCGATATCTCTGTCACTTATCCCTGACCCATACCGATATCTCTGTCACTTATCCCTGACCCAAACCAATATCTCTGTCACTTATCCCTGACCCAAACCAATATCTCTGTCACTTATCCCTGACCCATACCAATATCTCTGTCACTTATCCCTGACCCATACCAATATCTCTGTCACTTATCCCTGACCCATACCAATATCTCTGTCACTTATCCCTGACCCATACCAATACCTCTGTCACTTATCCCTGACCCATACCAATACCTCTGTCACTTATCCCTGACCCATACCAATATCTCTGTCACTTATCCCTGACCCATACCGATATCTCTGTCACTTATCCCTGACCCATACCAATATCTCTGTCACTTATCCCTGACCCATACCAATATCTCTGTCACTTATCCCTGACCCATACCAATACCTCTGTCACTTATCCCTGACCCATACCAATATCTCTGTCACTTATCCCTGACCCATACCGATATCTCTGTCACTTATCCCTGACCCATACCAATATCTCTGTCACTTATCCCTGACCCATACCAATATCTCTGTCACTTATCCCTGACCCATACCAATATCTCTGTCACTTATCCCTGACCCATACCAATATCTCTGTCACTTATCCCTGACCCAAACCAATATCTCTGTCACTTATCCCTGACCCAAACCAATATCTCTGTCACTTATCCCTGACCCATACCAATATCTCTGTCACTTATCCCTGACCCATACCAATATCTCTGTCACTTATCCCTGACCCATACCAATATCTCTGTCACTTATCCCTGACCCAAACCAATATCTCTGTCACTTATTCCTGACCCAAACCAATATCTACATGTATGTCACTTATCCCTGACCCATACCAATATCTCTGTCTACCTTACACAGAAATTGCTACCGATGTCATGACGACGACAGTCATGGAACCTGACACCAATGCTGCCAACAACACCACCACCAAAGCACCCAGTACCGAAGCACCTACCAAAGCACTATCTACCAAGACACCTGTTACTGATGCTCCCACGACGAAGAAAATGACAGAGAGTCCTGCTGTTGGTACCACTGAGAAGGCAGCGGATGGTGGTAACAGCAAAGGTTTCAGTGCCGGTAGTTTCTTTGGCGGTATCATCCTGGCTGTAGCCGTTCTTGGTATTGGATTTTGTGGATTCAAATTTTACCAGTCAAGGCAAGATAAGAATTACCAAACACTATAGAAAAAACAAAATCTACCTTTGTCTTATCTCATTAATTTCTTTAGATATTTTGTAATTTGTAACAACTGGGTGGGGGTGGGGGGGGGGTGATAATGTGTTATTTGTTTGGGTATGTTATATTCATTATTGATTTATTGTTGGTTAAAACTCTTTATATCAAAGTTTGTGATTTTGTGAATCAGATACTCAGAAAGATATTTTTGATGGCATTTTGTGGTCAAGTTCATATATCGTTTGTCCACTGATTGTTTGATGATGATTGCCTTTTCATAATTTTAGTGTTAACAATTTAAAACTGGATTTGATGAATCACATCACATCTAAAATATTGTTTACATAACGATATAGAAATTAATGGCCACTAGAAAAGAAAAATAGTGATGTTTCTTTTTGATGTTGTAGGTTACAGTGGACTTTTAGGGACATGTTGAAAGTAGGAAAGAAGATGTACATGTATGAGGTTAGCTTTAATTCACATGCTGGAATAGTTAATGATAGAAACCGTTTCCCTCTATTTTTTAAACCTTAATCCGTTGGATACAATCTGATTAAGTATAACAGGGATTCACCATGGACTCCAGCCCACTATCTTGGAGTAATAACCCATCAGGTCAGTCTATACATGATTCTAATGGATTGTAATAATACATGGATCCTTCAAAGTGCTGGAATTTTATATATTTCCTCCAGTACCTGTCCGTTTTTATACCACCTACATGTACAGTCAAACCTGTCTGCAGCAACCGCCCAAGGGAAACACAAAAAGTGGTCTTTGTAGACAGGTTCTTTTAGTACATGTTTCAATGAGAAACCATTTTCAAGGGAAACACAAAATGTGGTCCTTGTAGAGAGGTGGTTACTTAAGCAGGTTTGACTGTACTTACTAAATCAGGTCAGTTCAGTCTGTATTTTCATTTCCAATAATAAACAACATAGATGAAATATATAAACAACTGAGCATCATCATGAGAAAACATTGCAGAGCAGTTAGACAAAACAAATGATGAGAATTGAAGGTTTAACAAAAACATGCAGATACTGTATAGTATGTTAACCCCAACATTAACATTACATACATAATTATAACAAACAAACAAACAGACAGACAAACCATTAAAGTAAGGAAAGAAACATGCTATGTATAACATAAATGCTTGACAATATGAGGCTTGTACAAGTACATGTATAGCTATCAGTATACATGTATATGTATGATAGAACCTTCAGATGGCCTCATTTTGTAATTGAAAGGTGTCCCTCTCAAAAAACAAACAATTGGAAATCAATCAAATCATCGCACGTCTGCTTTTCAGCACACAGTAGAACAAATATGTTTTGCAGTCTTTACCATCAACAGATGTCCGCTCTCCTACCACTAGATAGCACAAAGTGATTCAATTCAATAGAATAATTTCATTGATTTGAAGTAAAATCTTTGTTTCTGCTGATTATGTGATAGTTAGTGATATCTGGCTGTAGAAGGATGATCTAATTTGTGGAGAAAGTGTAAAAGTGGGTTATGTATTTTAGTTCAAATCAATATTTAAAAGTAGGCTCAGTATATTTTTATCACTTTTTATTCATTTTTATGGAGTAATATGAATGGTATATATATATCACTTGTATATCATGTTATGGGCCATATGGTACTTGTTAAAGAGAGCAATCACAGACGAATATAAGTATATGTACTTTCCATTTTTCATGATTTCTCAATATATATGAACCATTCACAGTGTAACCCTAATTTCATGAAATTGAAATGCATGTACGGTAGTTAAAGGGGACATGAAGACTTCCATTTGGAAGAAGAAATAGTATTTGAAATAAAAAAGTAATTATTTATTTTTAAATATATGTACATGTATATTTCAATTGAAATGTAATTGATTAAGAATGTATCTACATGTAACTGGAAAAAAAAATCACTTAAAGATATTGTACTTACCGGTATATATAAATTATTTTGTACTTAATTCTAATATGAAAGAATTGAGGACTTATCAATCCATTTGAATAGAATTAAGTTCTTAGTGGATTGAAACTAGTAGTACTCATCCTATATTGTTCTCATAATTACAGTCTGCTATTTATATCCTGTATCAAAGTATCCATTACCCTTTCCTCTGATATCCTATGCCTTATGTAGGACTTAAGATATTAGAAAGGATCTGTCCTAGAGTATATTGAAAGATTCCCAGATTCCTGATTGTTGGCACTGACACTAGTTAAAATCACGTTTAATTTTGAAGTTAAAGGGAGACAGTGGTTGGATCAAGTTGTTTTCACCGTTTTCTTTTTCCACGGCTGAAGCAGTTCTAACTTTTTACATCAGTACATAATTTAATACTGATTAATTAATCACATTGTATGTTTTGTGTCTGTTTCATTGACAAAATGATTGTGATCCATATACAGTAGTCCTTCAAAAACAAATTGTTGAGTTTTGTTGCATAGTGCGTGAGGTGAATCTTTTTCCATTGTAGAGAAGACATCTATGAAGAACTGTATCGGTGGCTGTTGCAATGGCATTTCTAAATTCAAAATACGTAAATATACTTACCATTTTTAAAGAAAGGAATATAGGTAATGGCTGTACAGATGGTACAGTAGATTTTTTTAATTGTGCCTTTTACACGCTCCAACCAGCTTCTGTAACAGCTGTGTACAAATAAATCTATTGTATCACAATCACAGAAGAGGTTTTTTTGTAGACAGATGTTCGATAACGATGAATGCCAAATAGTTGACAGATTTGGGGCGGTTAGTTTCAACTCTTCTTTATAGAGTCCCTTATCTGTGTGAAAATCTCCTAAAGATGTTGTAAGTCCTACAGCATGTTTCAAACCAATGCCTTTATGTGTACTTATATACCATGTACAACAGATTTCATCTAAAGCAATAATGATTGGCTAGTCTCAGTGTGTATTCCAGATTGCTTAGGAAAGCAAATTTATGTTGTACTTTTGAGAGGATAATATAGATCAAACATACTTTGTTAGGCTCTTATTTAGTATGACTGTCTATGTATTTAAGTATGAAAGTGATACTGTAATAGAGACAAAAGCTTTCTAAAGGCCAATACAACTGAATACACTAGCAACAGCGTAGCTGCAAATGTCTTTTTGTTGTACGGGTTCGACATACATGTAGATGGCGCTGTTTCAGATAACATAGATTAATAGACGTGAACCCTTAACATAGAGAGCAAAATATTGTATGATCTGGCTCCCAACAGACTAAATTGATATGAATGTACAACATTGTGTTAATATGTTTAAAAGAAAACAAATTGTTAGGCTTAGCAGTTGGATTTATATGTATATTTAGTTTCTATCATTTTATAATTCAGATATTAGAGAGAGAGCAAACTACATGTTTGGTATTTTTATTGTGTTTTCTTGTCTTTTAACAGTTTTTTAAAGCAGTGGAATTGATTTGTTAGGGTAGTCAAGTGTTGGAAAATAGTTCAGATTGATAGTTTCTCATCAGCTTTTGGGGTTATTTCACTCTCCGAAAAAAATAGTGGTAGTTCCGTCAAAGTGCCGGGGAGCTTCCATGTCATGAATCATACTCTAGCTAGAATTCAAATCCAAATTATATCAACTAGCAGAGAATAGTATCCTCTAATTTATTTTCTTTATTTTCAAAAAATTGTAATTAGAGATGATTAGAAAAAAATTGGGGGCTTGGCATAATTCATTTTTTAACATTTAAAGTGAGAAATTTGTTCATCAACTGCTTAATAGGGGAGAACTTTTACTCCTGGCTTTCAGTGAGTAAAGTTAAGTGTGTAGATTTCGGAAGTAGGCATTCATAGCTGCATGCACAGTGCTCAAAAAACCAAAGTATTAATGACTCAGATTTTGTAAAAAAAATATATTATATATAGTATTTAAACTGTTCATGTGTTGTTGGCAGTTTTATAGAACATTATGTGTCAGTCTTTTTATCTTTTTAGTGCAATTGGGGTAGTTGAGTTAATAAGCAATTTAATATTTGGTAACATGATTGTCCAAATCTTGCAAAAGGATTTTTGTCCACAAATGTGCTATGACGAAAAACAAGTAATATAATTGCCATTTCAGCATGATTTATAGTTTATATTACATGTTATTTCTCATAGTAATCACTTGATGAAATGATGTTTATCTTCTGAACATCTTGCTCTTTCTTCTAGTTCATTTCCATTCTTTCATTCTCCCTCCTCCCTCTCTCCCTTTCTGTATCTCTTCCTCTCTATCTCTATCTCTCTCATCTCTACCCCTCCCCCCCCCCCTCTCTCTCTCTCTCTCTCTCTTCATCGCCTGTCCCTTCCTTTACTCATTCACTTTTTATGTCCATTTTCTCCTTTTTTCCAGTCTGAGGATTTTAAAATGTGCCATATTTCAAATCAAACTATTGAATGTTGATAATTCAAGGTAGCTGTAAAACAGGCTCAAGTGTAATAAATATGTCTATCTAGTTCATTGATTTATGTACCAGTGAGTGATGTTACCAGTAATAAAAGAGATTTATTAGGCTTTTTAAGATTTTATCACCTCTTCCAAATTGCCTTAAATTAATTCCATTATAAACACACTGAATATACAATGTATTTATATCGTAATAGGATTAATCTAAAGCATTTCTAGTTTTTAAGATATTTAATCTTATGGGTTATCAGCTATTTTAAACCACACATGTACTGCACAATCAAGAAATAGAAAAGCCAGAGAATAGTGAATGTATTGTTCAGCTCATACTAAAAGATTTTGCTGCTGCTGGAAAACACATTATTTAAACAAAAGTACAATATTGCGTTTGAAGTCATACTGTATGTATTGAACATTCATGTGAATGTATCTCAAAATAAAATTCACTAGTGGCAATCATATATATGCTATGAACAGTTTTCTTCTTAACATTGTTTTTGTAAAATTATTAAGTTTCATTTGACATTTGATGATGAAATTTGTTATATGAACGATAAGACCTCTTACCTCTGAACATTGAGAAGTATTTGTAGCTCTTAACAGGTTAAACAAATTATTCTTGTTTTCATTATGACTATTCTCTGGCTTTCAATATCGTTATAAAATTTAAGGCATTCTGTTGACAATGGACAAAAGTCTTTTTCAATTCTGATCCTAAAACTCTTAGTAAATATCTGTCATTATTTCGCTCTACGATTTGTGATAAAGTCTATCACATTTCATGTACTTACAATCGTTCTTACATGCATAGTGTTTAGTGTTCTCGTTTATTTATATATGTTGGTACCGGTAGATTTGTTTTGGTCTTATATTTTGATAATAGTAAATTTACTCCGTGCTGTTGAAACATTTTGCAATATTTATTGTCTCACGTTTTCATTCCTTCTATGTATACAAGATTAGATATTTAGAGTTGGATTATATTTGCTGACAAATAAAGTCACAATTACAAAAAAAAAGAAATGTACCGATTCGTTTTTCATTTCATACCACAGATATCTAGTTATGATAAGGGATTTTTAGAACTTTATACTAGTAGCATATACATGAAACTGCTTTTAAAGTTATGTGTAGTTTGTAAGTCAGACTAGTTACCGGTAGGTCTTAAATTAAAGACTGCAGGGCCATTGGCCAATTGGCATTAATGTGAACAACGCAGCTTTCACTCACTCTCTCACTTGTTCCTTTAAAAAATATATAGTATATACATGTCTACAGCTGCACTACGAGGTAGAAAGAGAAAGAGAGCAAACGATAGATAAGGGGGAGAGAGAGAGAGAGAGACAGTGGGAGGGAGTGAGTGAGAGAAGAATCGGAACAAAAGCATTTTTTTTTAAAGCATCAAATGAGGAACGAACGTAGACGTGTGTATTATGAGCTGTTCAGATACGGGGTATTCTATCATTCTTTCTATTTTTCTCACTATATCTGTCCTGTATATCATTCATTTCCTCTATATATTGTAAATATTGGTACCACCAACCCACTACTACTCACCCCACACATAGATTTGCATGTAATATCTATATATGTTTTTTTGTATGTGTTATTGTTTAATTAAAAAAAAACTATTGTATTTTGATATTGTAATTTTAAGCAGGGGATGATCCCCCGATCAACCTCTGTGGTTTTTGATCACCCCCTCTGCAGGTTCATCTTTTGTTGTAATGCTTTTATATTTGATTGTAATTTACACTGTCTTTTATGAATCTGTGGAAATAAATGAAATTGAAATTGAAAATTGGTATCATTTATTTAAAGATAATACATATGACACTGAAACAGATATACGACAACTGAATAATCATTGTGACACAATATACCTTATCCAATGTTTCTTTATTTTTCTGGAAATTCCAGAGTCAAATGATTGATTGCTGTAAGTGTATGTTTCCAACTAGTAACATTAATGATACAGCATTCTAATAGTAGCCGATGAATACACAACTGAATACAAATTGAATATAAACAGGTAGTGATAAAAAATTAATAATCCATGATTATGGCAAGAGAAAGGTCCACAGTACAAGCCATTCAAATAAAAAGCCAGTAATCAAGGTCTGGATTACATACATTTCAAGCACTTGAGTTCCATATTCTCTTTTTCTAATACAGAATGGACTGTATTTTTCCTCTTTTTTTTCTTCCAGATACGACTCTTATTTATGACATTAATTGACAAGACTATGTGAAAAACAAGATCAAATATAATACACTCAAATTATTGACAATTACCAGTGGTAGTTCAATGAGAAAGGGAAACTTTGAGACGATAAAATCATCTTTGAGAGCAATATAATAATATGGAGATAATGGCAATCTGGTGCTCAAGAAAAAAACACTGGTCATTGGTACCCCTATTAGAGCATACTGTAACTACCTACTGCAGGGTCCCTAGTTCAGAATCTGGACAGTAATATTCTATTTTGCAATCTCTCCCATCCCTTACATACCTGCTGCAAACCGAAGATTGCGTAATCCACGCACCCGTACACCACAATGGTATGCTCAGCCTTTGTCGCTGGGTTTTAACATTTCTGGGATCACGCAAAATCTTTGGCATGCAGCAAGTAGAGGAAGCTTCCATTATGTTGGTGGAGATTGTTAACAAATCTTATTGGCTAGATTCTGGACTACATCTTCCCCTTATTCAATATAGATGTACATGTAATACATGTATACATACATATATAATAGAACAATGACAACATTCTGCATTGTGCAAGCCATGCAAAAATGAAATGAAAAAACAGGGTTCCTTTGTTTCCTGCCCTAATTAATCCAACATTCAAATATACACTCCAAGCATTTACACCAACTGGTATGGGGAAAAGTCATGATTTAAACAAGAACCACACACAAAATACCAGATTAATTTTAAACTTTTTATAAATCAAAAATTGCATAAGAACTTATTCTACCCCAAATAAATAGCAAAGGAAACAAATGTATTTCTATGGAAAGACAAGGTTATTGCATAAATAATATTTGGCCCATATGAAGAAGATAAAAAAAAGTATGATTATATAGATTATAATGGTTTATACAACACCTACGTAGATCCTTGTCATTTGATTGGAGGATTGTTGGTCACATGATATTCAATAGATGGTATATTGCACGGTCGTGCATTTTTGGTTATATGCGCCGTGCATTTTTGGTTATATGCAGACTGCGTACCTCTCAGTCGTGCGCGCGCGTATCCCTGCGTGTATCTGAGCTGACGCGAAGGCAATCTCAATGTAATCGAGAAGGCTTGACTCCAACTTTAATTAATTAAGCATAATTTGTTGATTAACGTTCTATTAGATCTTCTTCGATGTTGTATAAAACAAATAATGAATGTTTTTCATTCGTTCAATAGTGCCAATATTTTCATTCGTTGAAAGATTAACGTTAATTCTATTCAACTCGGCTGACGCCTCGTTGAATAGAATGTTAATCTTTCAACTCATGAAAATATTCGCACTATTGAACTCATAACCATTCATTATTTGTATAATATATCATTTACATCACTTAACACATGCACATTATGAAAAAGACGTTTTCACGTTTAAAAAAAAATGCTCTCCTTGAAAGCCCATATAAGTGATTGATAATTTATTCATATAAAGCATGCACTCATCATTATTACAGCACCATCTTGTTATAAGGAAGGCACTCATTTTCTAACCACCAATTCACAGTGATTTTTTTTTTGGAAATACCTCCAAGTAAGGTCCACTTATCTTTAAAGTAAAATGATAAGAAAAAGCTTATATTTAACATACTCATCCTGTACAGGTGAATGCATTCAGAACTAAGCATGCAGCTGTCCATTACGATTATGAAACAGACCAGTTATAGAACCTAACCAAGTAATAAGGACTTAAAGGTAGTTCACAGAGTTGGTAAGTGCTAACATCTGGTAAAGATACAGCATGCAATATGTGTGTAGAAGTAGATGCAGTTATACTACATGTGGACCTACTGACCTTGAGAGAGTTGACAACTAAATTACAAGCTATTAGTACATTTGATGTAACTCAGAAATGGAAGGTGAACTTATTGAATTAGTGCCTTTGTTGAATAGTTTTAGATGTAAGCTTTATTATGTCTCATTCTCAAGAAACATAATTTGGGACAAATCAAGTTTTAACATAATTGAACAAATTATGAAACTTGGTAAGGGTATGCATAATTTAGTTGTTACTTGTATATTCGCTACAGTATCCTTTAAAAAAGATAACAAAGATGAAAGATCTAGTAGACTGAATGTATAGAGCAAATTAAACATGTCTTCATTCGCTGGTTGTAAGATCTATACTTCTTGATGAGTCTGTGTGCACCTATTATAAAGGAACCATTAGATTGAATATGATAGATGCACACAGGTTGATTTTAAGCTGATAGCTTGGTATAACAAACTTATTTGCATGAATAGGTTGTATAAAATCAGCATCTACAGTTCAACTCTCAGATCCACACCTGAATCACCATCTTCTTCAGGATGTTTGATTTCTTCATCAGCCGACTTCTTCTCCTCCTTTTGGCTATCCTCCACTTTCTTTTCTTCCTTTTTCACACCATCCTTTTTCTTCTCGCCATCTGTTTTTTTAACATCTTTCTTCTCATCATCTCCCCAGTCAATATCATCTAGATTGAGAGGCTCTACATGGTGAATTTGAACATTTGGATCCTCATATGCTGCTGGCTTCTTCTTCATGTCCATCTCGTAAAGTCGCTGGAAAAAAACAAAACAACATTTTTGGTTTACAAGTTTTAAAAAGACAACATGTCATTAAGGAATCCAATCTATAGAATAGAAGTGATCAGAAAGTTACATTGCATCAGACTGTAAACAAAATGTGGTAAAATACTAATCCTTGAGTTTAATGACATTGGCAGATTATGGAAGAATCGGTTTTTATTTAGTTTAGTGGCATACCCACTTGTTAAATTAATTTCACACACCTTTCTAATTTTCATCTCCGTATTTATTCATTCATTCATTTCCTGGTTTCATTTTTGAAATATAAAAATGATAAAAAAATCAGTAAATAAAAAGCTATTCATCTTATAGTCATTGCTTGATTGGGTTTGTTAAAAATATACAGTCAAACCTGTTTCAACAACCACCTGTATAAAAAGACCACCTGTCTACAAAGACCATATTTTTTGTTTCCCTTGAAAATGGTATCTCATTGAAAAAGGTACTAAAGGAACCTGGACATAAAGACCACCTGCCTATAAAGACCACTTTTCTTGTCTCCCTTCGGAGGACTTTATAGACAGGTTTCATTGTATATATAATGTGAAAAGTGAAATACTAGCTATACAAGTTGGGATCCTGTTTTGACTTTTTATTTCCTCTTCATATACACCTTACTAATTTTTTTTAAATATTTTTTTTAGAGATTATAATATACAATAATGCAAGCTTACCAGTCTCTCCTGTACCTGCTGCTCATGCCCTATGTCAGAGAGCATTAATAGTTTGGAATCTAGTTGGAAACGGAATATGTCATCCTAAAAATGGAAAGAAGAAAAGAAGAAATATGGTACAAATCGATTAAGCAGAATTTGAAGTAAAATAAACTGGGCATAATAGGGATAAGTGCCCGGCCCCCCCCCCCCACTCAGTGTTATTTAGAGTACGCATATATTGTGGATAAGTGGCTCACACCGTGCACGGAACTTGATAATAACATAACAATATGACAACATAATATTACAATCTTTTTTACCCATAAACCTTTGGCATGATGGCTCAGTGGTTAAGCAGTGGTTTTGTAACCGGGAGATCCCGGGTTCGAAAACAAATTGATATGCTAGTGTCTTATGGTAAGACATTAATGCTCATTACCAAGTCACTTAGAGAGAAATCAAAGCTGCTGGTCCCGGGGTTGCATACTTACAATCATACAAATGCTTTCTTTAAAGTAGTCAGGTAACAAACCCAAAACTAATATTCTAACACATGCTTTAAAGGTACTACCGGTATGTCCCTTTTGCAGCCAACCTCAAATATTGTAGAACTTTGCAGGAATTATGAATATGTCATGTATGTCCTATCTGTGAAATTTAAACGTTAGCAGTGTCCTTATATTCAAATTATGCAAGGAAACCCCTTTACTTGCTAGACTTCACTGTCAGACACTATTGTCAGTATTGAGTGACTGACTGGCTTTTTCTTCTTCTTTGGTAATAACATACATAAAATGAGCTGTAAAGGGTACATGTACATGAGCATTTTTCTACCTCAATAACCCACTTCTTGTGATGGCCATCATTAAATTGATTGAATCTTTGCGCAGCATAAAACGTATGACCATTCGGTACAATGGTCTGAGATTCAAGACTATTACTTATTGGCTCTATAGCTCCTTAGTCGATTTGACAACTAAAAGTCGTTATTTTTCCACTTGAAGACATTTTCAAGCCCCACATTTTTTAGGGAAGTTCTAAATTAGTATTATCTTTCAAATGCCGTTGGAATTTAACCTTTTCATTTTTTTTGGGCCTGCAAATGGGACATAGTACCTTTAAGAACATAAATTCATGTGTTCCATTTAACCCATTATCTATGGTAACCACGCAGCTAGTCCCTGTAGTGAGTCTATAGGTTCGAATAAAAGAGATTTGTCGTATCTTGTCATACATTGTACCATTATGAATTTTTTTTATTTTTTTTTATCTCTTCAGTAAAACTGAATGGAGGAAGGAGAATAAAGTATAATTAATCTGCAAAAATAGTCTCTGCTCACCTTGCATCAGTATGCTACAAGGATTTAACAAGTAACAATGAAAGGAAGAAATCTACAACACATAAATATCATATCAAAAGGATGATGGTCATCTGTATGTAAATATATATCTGCTACAGGGTGATAGTGAGCACTAAAAAAAAAATAGGTTTTTCGTTTTCCCCTCAACCACGCCCCCCCCCCCCCCCCCCCCCCCTTGAGTAAAAAAAAAAGAAGAGGATTCGCGGGTAAAAAATGGTATTTAACAACATTCCCTCCTTTCGAGTAAGAAAATTGGGAAAAAATAGGAGGAAAAATAGGGAAGAATAGAAATAATAAGGGAGAAATCGGGAAAATCAGGTTAAAATAGGGAAGAAAACAAAAATCTGGTAAAAAAAAAAAAAAAAAAAAAAAAAAAAAAAATCTGGATTTTTTTTTTTTTTTTTTTTTTAATCGGGAAGAGAAAAAAAATTGGGAAAAATAACAAAAAATCGGTAAACCGATTTAAATCAGGTTTTTATCGGGCCTGCTGCTAGGAGTCAGGAGGCTATTAACTCATACCAGGCACGTACGCAGGATTTTTTCAAGGGGGGGGGGGGGGTTTTAACATTTATAAACCGGGCCGTAAATTTCGCAACGACTCAGCCAGCCGCTGAATAAAGCGGGGGGGTGTAAGAGGACACTTTTTTTCTTTTTTTGGGGGGTCTCGAAATTTGAAAATTTCGCTCCACTGGGGGAGGGGGGGGGGGGTAAGGTCACCTTTTTAGGTCAGCCATGGGAATTTTTTTTTTTTTTTCTGTTGTTGTTGATATAATTAAAAAAAAAACATTAAAAAAAAAAAAAAACCAAAGGGGGGGGGGGGGGGCGGTTTAGGGGGGTGATGGGGGGGGGGGGGTTTACACACATAAAAATGGTGACACGACATTTGCTCCTGCGACAATTGCTCCGGGCTTTATTTCGTCTAAGATGTAGGGTTAGGGTTAGGGTTTCAATAGGGTTTTATGTTAGGTTTAGGGTTAGGTTTAGGGTAGGGTATAGTGTTGAATCCAGGGTTGAAGTTAGCCATTCGATTAGTGTATGAAATTTACAGCGGAGCAATTGTCGCCGGAGCAAATGTCATGGAATCATAAAAATACCAAACACCCCCCCTGTGTACGCGCCTGACTCATACACTTTAACACGATGAACGTCCTTCTGGCTCTCAACAGGCGATGGTTCCTTACCATATCTTTAAGTCTTGTAAAATCCTCTTTGTCCAGTATACCATCTTTAGTCAAGTCCATCAATCCAAATGCCTGCATTGAGAAAAACAAAATAATAGTGTGGGAAAGTGGATTTTGATGTAATTTTGGTTACGGGCTACCTTACAACATTGTAGGCGTGGTTGCACAGCATTCTATGCAAATTAGTATCAATTACTTTTTATTAGAAATAACTACTCGAGAACAAAACTTGTTCCTTATGTCTCTTTGTCAATATGTCTATGATGCTATGGACCGCTGGGAATTGCCATCAAACCAACTGTATCTTTACTGCGATATTGAGGGTAGTTGATCTTTTAAAAAAATAATAATCATTAATACATTAATGGGAGTAATCACTTCACAGAATGGAAGGAAATGTAAGTTTCTTTGCCATCAGTAATTGTTACAAGTACCTATACATACATATAGCATTTATGAACTGACAAAAGGGAGATATATACTCTGGAGATTATGGCAGTTTTGGTTTTGTTTATTTTCTTGTTTCTTTAACTTTCTTTTGCACTTGTGGAAGACTCAATGTAGTCACTAAATATAGTGAAATGCCAGGTACTAGTCTGAACACATTTTTAAGGTCATGATTGTGATAGATCACCAGTTTAAATCTCACTAAACTTACTGACTGGGAAACACCTGACGATATCTCGTTATAGCGAGAGGTGACATATGTTACATGCTATGTTACATGCTAATATAATGCATGTGTAGCACTGCCGTTAACTGATGTCATTTTTAATGAATATTCATGTTTTGATTAAGAGGTGCTAATATTTGTTTAAGTATAATATTTCTGTTTACATGTATACATTTTTGATACAGAGTATTATCAACAAAATTATACTCTGAATCACCATTTATTAGAATATACTATGTTAAGGCATTAATGAGTATTTGATTTATGTTTTTGTTTACCTATTTTCTAATTAGTATTGATAGTGCGTATAGAATGTAAACAATAACCACGTTTTTAGATTCAATGCGTTTTTGTGCATGTTTTTGACACCGTCCATCTCTCGCCTAAAGTTGAGAGCCCTAATGTTTTGTGCTCTTGGTCATACTTGACTAGGTCTACTTTTGATGACTTTTTCAACTTATCAGTGCCCAAATTTCAGTTTACTACTTCAGTGAGGTGCATAGCAACTCTTGCTTGGGCCTGATACGAGATTTATTCAGTTGGACATTTGATCTTCGTGTTTTTCAACGCAACTTTTCGTCATAACGATTTCAACCAAGATCTGACTTCGCCTTCGCATAGCCTATAGGTTATAGGGCCTTATTAGCTTCTTGTCAGTCCTAGGTGAAGTGGTTCCCGATCCCGTTCAACAGTCACTTTGTGTGTGGACTGCATTGTAGCTACATACGTGAACTTCATCCTGGGAAGTTTCCCATTCAGCAATTAGTTTGTGCAGATTGTAGCTAGATCTACGCGAATTTCATGGAACCTCCACTTTCAACGACCAGAGTAAAGATCAATTAGTGTTTTTCTTCATCGGATTTTCTTCATCGGATTGTCTTCCAGTGTAGCGTTCGCCCAGAGAGCTTGAATACTTCACGTTCACTACGCTAGCAGCAACTCGTGGGACTACACGCGATCGACACATCTTTACAGTATTCTACTTAGCGAGAACAATCAAGCCAGCCAGGTTACTTCGTCTTCGACCACCGTTTGCTGGTTAGTATTCAAAAACATAACATTGAGTGATTCACAAACTCCTACCAGATCTACAGCTTCATGTGAAGTAGTTACCATGGTTACACAGTGAAGCATTGAAGTTGACAACTGCTAATCTAACCTGGGTCTATTTTGTATAGACTACCTTTGATTTTGTTCTTGTGCATATTTTTATACCAACAATCACGTTGAATTCTAGTTTAGAACATCTAGATAATTTTATGTAATAATCACCATCATTCATGTCAAGAAGAACTTATCTCGTACCCTTGTAATTGTACGTTCACTGTGTGAATCTTGGCATGACAACTAGAGGTCTTGATTCTTTCTAGATCAAGATCTAGTATAGTTCACAATTCGTTTGTGTCCATTAATTTATTTTAAGGCATTAACATTCGGCCATTATTATAGGCTGGTATCAGACTCAACCAAGGTTGATTTTGTTATATAACGCTTCCAAGTACTAATTTTGTGTTATAGTACATTAGTACATTAGCATTGTCCTAGACAGTATACCTTGTATGTTTGCATCTTTTCTTTTACCAACCTGATACCATTAATATTTTCTAGCATTAAGAAAGTGCAGCATCAAGGTAATAGTAGTCACTGACTATTGTATTTATAAACAGCCATATTTTAAAGGACAGTTTTAGCCTTTTACTTTCAGGTAAATAGAATATTTGGTTTTTTCCTTTTTAGCGACAAGTTGTTTGATTGTTGTTGATTTTATACCACAGCCCTACAGGAAGTGTGTCCTGTTATTTTCGAGTTGATGTTTGAGTACACAGATTTTGTGTCTATTGATTAAATATCAGTTATAAATTTCAGTGAAACTTTACATTTTTGTATTCTTTTGTAGTGTAATGAAAGATTATCTTGTATGGTTGAACTTGACTTAATTAGTATAACTTGAGATTGAGAGGTGATAAATGCAGCTTTCTAAATTCTAGTGAATGTTCAAAGATTGATTAGAGTGAGAAATTGGTGTATGTTTACCGGTTAATTAATAATCAGTACCCTGAAATTAGATAGATCCCCTCAATGCTCGTTTTACTAAACATGCAAGCATGCATTATCCCAGGCAGTTCCCCACATGCAAGCATGAAGTGATGATGTGTGGGTTTGTTGTGCTCTGCAAGTTAGAGACCTGCCGTGCCTTCGCCATGCCTTAGCCATATAGGCCACCCTACAGTATCACATGGGAAATATAGCCTGAATTTTCCTAAATTATGAACTTACTTCTTGAGAGAGTTCATCGCACTCGTCAGTCCATATCAGGCCATTCAACATTGGGAACCTCTGTAAAGAAATGTTGGAGGGGGGGGGGAGAGAAAAAACATATCGTCATCATCACAATCAAATTTATCATAATTCAGTGAATTCCTAGAGGGTAACCTAGTTCCGATCAACTCAGTTGTCATTGCAGAAATCTTCTTTTTCTGAAGTGAAAACATCAGATGAAACAACTGACAAATACCCCATCACACAGGTAACCCTAATGCTAACTCTGATCCAAAGTCTAAGGACATACAAGTATTACAAACTAATGGTTCTAGGGAGTCAAGCACCCCCCCCCCCCCCAAACACATGCCCATATATAAATACAAAATGAAGACACTATGACATATACTGTCACCTGTTCTAATCGTAAATTCAAAATACATGTACATGTAATATCACGTTGAACATTAATACTTACTTTTTGCAATACAACAGTGAAGTCTTGTTGAGAAAAATGTGATAATTTTTCATTTCTCAGAGTTTTGACTAACTCTTTACTAAAGAGAGAGAGAGAGAACACAAGAGAATTATCACACAAAATACATGTACACAGCCACACAATATGGTACTTAAGGAAAAGATAATACTGGTACATTTCTGGACTAATTCCTGAATCTTTTAACATGTTAGTCATTTTTAAAAAGAGTTCGAAAAAATGGCATACGATTCTCTAGTAATCTAACAAGCATTTCTATGTTTGGGGCAGCATTTACTGTGCGTCCCAGAAAAGACGAAACTGAGAATTATCTATGTTCTATCATAACTTAGTCATAATTATAATTGACAAATGACACATATCTGTAAAGCTTAGATCCTCTTCTTTTATTTGATGCAACTCATATGATGCATACTTCAGGCATGAGTGATTAAAATTAATTTGAAGAGAGGAAAGCCTTTTGGTGGCCGGTATCTGAATTTTAAAGAGAAAATCACATTTCTAGAAAGTTCAGTGTCTGCCCTTTCATATGACACCTCAATCAGGAAAAATGAGCAAGGAATAACAAAGTTCTGTTTGTCTAAAGTAGTGCTTGCATTTTCATAATTTGATTAAACAAATTCGTTTTCACTGGCTGCCTGCCATAGCAACAAACAGAATTGACAAAAAAGGCTCAACTCCGTTTCATTGACAATCAGCCATGCATGAATTTTTGTTGTCTATGGCTGATATATACACATACATGGGCTGACAACATGTATACAAGCAGCAGGCTGACATGCTCCAACAATCTAATGATATATGTGACAAAGGAGTGGGCAATGGATGGGGGAACGGTCGGTGGGAGTGGGGTGGGAGTGGGGTGGGGAAGGGGTCAGGAAGGGTTTGTAGGAAACAGTGTGGGAAAGTGAAGGAAAGGGGTGTGTGACAGGTGGGGAAGGAGTGGGGAAACCCCTGGGGTCAGGGTCAGAGTTTGGGTCTGGATTTGGGTTACGGTTACTGGTGGGGTGTAGTTTTCTGCGGTTCTTCTACCATATCTTACTCTAATGGGGGTGCGTCCTCTTCAAAGTCTTCTACAAATCCCAGTGGTTTCTCCATGCCCAGCTGAACATCAGCTATGGACAGCTTCCTATCGGTAGCACCACAAATCTCTGGAGTCGGTACATGCTCGCAGGAATGGTCAAACCAAACATTAACCGCAATATTACGACCGATAGAGTTCACCTGGTGCATCCTGGAGGTGGGGTAAAGGATTAAGGGTCAAGGTTTACAAGGAAACTCAAGGACTATTCAGAATTCATCATGTTGAATAGCGGTGAATACTGGTTCTATGATTTTGCAGGACCATTTCTCCCTACCGCATATGGCTGAGAATAAGCCGACGTAAGTGGCGCTTTTTTTCTACTTGTGAATTTGTCGCAATTTTTTAGTCACATGAACTTCCGGTCAAAACGGGTCTCACCGTATTGAGCTCACACTTCACTGTTAATTTGGACTAAACATGAAAAAAATGTAGTTTTGTCTAAATCTATCATTTTGTGGAAACAAGGTTTAATTCATTGATTAAAGGGCAATCCAACCCTTGTAATAAGTTGATTTGAATGAAAGCAGAAAAAATAAGAAAAACAGAATGGCAAAAGTTTGAAATAAATTTGGACCAACTGTAAGGAAGTTATGAATGTTTGAAATATGAGATCACTAAGTGTATATGCGAATCTCAAATTAGTAGTTTGGTCAGTGGATTGTGACGTAGGGCATGGATAACTTGAACTCTCCCATTTGCTGAGTAAAAAATATCATTAATTTCTGTTTTTCTCATAAGCTCCTTCTCTCTTGGGGCACTACTCAAAATATATTATATATATCATATTATTATAGGTCCTCTAAAAAGAATAGGGTAGACCCTCCTGAGCCATGAGTTTTAGAATAATTTAAATTTTGTTAATTTTATATGTTGGAACAGATGGGAAAGTAGTCCGGCACTTTTCTTTCTTATGCCTGTTACATGTACTCTTTTCTAAGCGCCATGAGCACCGAAAGGTTGACCTGTGCGCTATACAAGTAGCCACTATTATTATTATTATTATTATTATCACATGGACATTACCGCTTCATCCAATTGGAAGTGCCCATACGTATATTGATTACAACTTTAAAAAATCACAACTTTCTTATACTTAGTCAGACTTAATTGAAACTTACTTCAGTTTGCTTCTCTTATTTTTCTGCTTTCTTTTTTAGTAGTTGTCAATTTGGGTTGGATTTCCCTTAAATAAACAGTGGTTTATTTCTTAAAGGAATTAAAAATTACTTGGGACACTTACCATTTATATGGAATATAAATACAATCACCAGGAAATAGTTTCGCCTTGTAGAACTCAACATTCCTCAAGCCAGGATATTTGATCATATCTACCTTGTCCACATCAACACTGGAATAGCTCCCTTCTGGGTGATCAAGATGAAACTGTTCAGAAATATAAGAGTTTTACAAGTGATTTTTTTGTAAGGGTTGGCAGGTATGGAATAGGTCCATACTATCAACATCTCCTTCTAAGAGTGTACAATATAACTTTTCAGAAAGATACAAATCGTAAGTGAGAATAGGTCCATCATATCGATAAAGTGTACAGCAGAATCAAAGCAGCTTATACAGAATGACCAATATAAAATATCTTTAGGATGATCAAGTTAATAACTATAATACAAATTTTACCCAAAAAAAAAGGGAAACTTTGTTTTGTTTTTTTGGGGGGTAGTGGGGGGGGGGGGGTTTGGAGGGAACAACAATGGGCTGTAAGTGGAAAATACATGAATATATAATACCAACGTGAGAAAGAAGAAAATAAAAGGAAGGTAATGTTAAAAGTCTCAACAAGAAAAAGATAAACTCATAAATCATCAATGTTCTCTCTACTTTTTTTTAATTAATTTATTATCAAGTATTTGGCATGACCTGTGCCTGGGAGGCGAAAAGCGCACTGAATCACTGTAACCCTTGGGTCTCTCCTCCCAGTATAACTGATTGGGAGTGTGCAGGTGGACCACTACACCGGGGTTTCCCCCTCTTCTTATATGAATAGTGCAGTGGGTTCTTAACATGCAAAGGTGGTGACTCTTCTCTACGCGGGGCCTCCATTTAACGTCCTATCCGAGGGACGGAGTGCTTTCCACTTAACTTAGCCTGCGTCTATGAAACAAGGGGAGGGGCACGTTCACACACAACGCAGGCTTCAGTCATCCACCTGGGTGGGATTAAACCCACGATCTTTGGTTCGACAGGCAGACGCTTTACCGACCGAGCCAGCTTAGATGCACTAGATCAAGAACAATAGACAAAAGTATCTGGAGAAAAGGTAAAATAAAAATAATTTGTAGACCTACCTGATGTCTATACTGTGTGTAGTTGAGAAAAAGGATTTCTTTCTGTCCACTAAAGAGGCAGTTGATATTATCTGTATCATCATTATGAAGGAGTGACTTGGTACCCCCACTGCTGAACCACATAACCTGCGAGGAGGGAGATAAGATTGATTTAAACTGTAAATAAATGGGATAATATAGTGGCTAGTTGCAGACCCCCTTATGTATGTCTGCATCAGAAACAGATTAATTTTTTGTTTAAACATCTGTCACATCTGGCCACTGAAGAAGATAGTGACACTTACCTTCTTCTTTTTTTTTTGACAACTCATCGCCCTTCGCCTGCCGAATGGAGGGTATTTAGGCCGTTTTTTTCTTCTTCACATTTTATACTAATCAACAAATCATACAGAATTCGATATTCATAAAACATGAATCAACTATTTTAATCAACAAAGCATGCAGTACAGAACATCACTTATAGTCAAAGCTGTATTGTATCCAGTGAAAAAAGTGCTATAATATCAAATAGGATACAATTATTTGGTTACCGTATTTGCCGGCGATAGGGCCGCAGCGCCGCATAGGCCGCAACCCAACTTTGACTTTTCAAAGAGGGAAAAAAAAACAAAAAAAAAACAACAAAACAACAAAAAAAACGGCCAAAACAAAATGACCGTAATTTTCTTGTAAAACACTATTTTTTTTTTACAAACTGATACCAAATTCATCAATATTCTTATAATTTACCGGAAGTTTAACGAAAAAAGTGATCGCAGGCAGATTTGGTGTCCGATATATACCCCTACCACAATGTATGGAGTAATGGGAAAGTGCATGAAATGGAAAACAAAATGGCGACTTTGAATGGATGCTTCACGACAGCTCCGTTAAACGGTCCCTTCCTTTACCTTTGCAATGCATTGGCACGAACTTAGATCAAGATCTATTGCAAATGTTGTTTTAGGAAGTTTATTTTCGTCTTCATGTCAACAATGCAAGATAAAATTGTTGGTAAGATGTGTTGAAATGTCCTGTACCATAGTGGTATAGTTATTGTACCACTCGTAGTCCCATATGTGCGAATTCGTGCTGGTTTTGACATAAGTTTTTTTTTTTTTTTACTTTTTCGCCGCAAAGGCAGCACCAGGCTTTTTGATATTTTCTCTTCCAAAAATACTGCGGCCTTTACACCGGCAAATACAGTAGGTATAAATCCTGCATAACCCCTGAATATACAATTTAGTTTATTATGATTCATAGAGAGAGGAGACTGGAAATATCTTTAGTTTTCTTTCCCGACGTTTCAACTGCAACAATTAAATATTACTAGTATTATACAGTATTGGAACTACATGTATTTCTCTATTGTCAAAAATTCACTAACAAATGTGACTTATTTTTTTGTATTTGAAGAGTGTATACAACATGGCCTCCCACACCCCCACACCTATACAGAAGACATATAAATTGGGCATTCAAATATATGGAGAATTCAGAAAGTAAAGAAATAAGCTCACCACATCAGCTATTCTTTGTAGTATTTCATCACAGACCAACGGCGGAGGTACAATAACATCTCCCCTGTAAAAGGACACAGAAAACAATTTTAACTCAAGACAACAATCTGTTTATCACTTTTATCAGTATATGGACAATCTAGACCAAGACTCTAATCAACTGAACTAAGACAAGTCGACTGTTCCCAGTAATCAAACATTGTTTTAACTGCTTACCTAGTTTGAATCTCACACAACTTTTGATATCTTGATTGTTCATTTGTATAAAAATCATCCTCTCTGTATTGTGCTGTAGCATCATCATACTAAATATTTTTTTTTAAATCACATAAGAATTTGTTTCCGTCTGTGAATGTCCTCTTATATTCCTCTTTGTAAACAATGTACATGTACAATGAATTGATAGATGCTTTAGAAATTGAGGCAATTTGAAAAGAATAGCACCCTGCTATAAAACACTCACCTGAGAAATTCTGGCAATGAATCTACCATGTATTCATCTTCTGTCTCATATCGCTCCAGAAACTCAGTAAACTTCATCCTCTGCGTAGGCTGCTTGCGATCTTCTTTCTTCCTGGTTTCAACATCGATGAGTGTTGTCTCTGCCTCTGGTCTAAGTCCAAGATCCCTGTCAGACCAGGTCTTGAAGGCTGGGGACAGTTTGGCCCCATTCTGGAAGACCACTGGTAATGACGCCAAGATGTAATCCACGTAGAATGTCTTAGGAGAAGGGAAGCCTTAAAGAGGAATCACATTAAGGGAAATTTTGCAAAATTCATGTCAACCAAATATTGCATAAAAATACACCAATAACAGTCATTATTGTGATTATTTTTTCCTCCTATAAACAATTTGTTTACAGGAAGGGTGAAACACCCCATGACTTAATCTGAACTGAAGATTATTGACTAAATACTGGAAGTAATTCCACAATGCCATAAAGGTTCCGAAATTGGATTTCACCCCTTCTTTATAGCCTGTAGGTTTGGTACACAAGAGAAGTAACACAGAAGTCACCTGTAGATCTATACAAGTGTCATGACAGGATTTGAAAACTTCACATCTCTAAACTAATGCTTACACTACTCACAGATCGAGACACCTCTGATTAAACATACTTTCTAAAACAGGAACTGTTTTTTTGACAGCCTTTGCTCCTAATGGTTCTAGGTGTCCAGGCCACGGTACAGCCCCATCAGATGGATCTACTTTGCTGCCCCCGGTGGAAGAACGCCCTCCTGTGACCACCTTGAATATCCCAACCAGGGCAAGTGAATAGAAAACACGTTGGAGGATCATCGCTGAGAAGTAGTTCACCTAAACAAAAATTGAAGAACACAGAAAATGGTATTTTAGTTTTCACTTTGTATACATTTCAGTGGGCGGTTGCATCCGGCCATCTAAACAGATAGTCTTCAAAGGGGTCCAGGGGAACATTTCAATTCAATTCAATTCAATTCAATTTTGGTTTTATTACAAATATACCAAATAAAAAGTCCAAAGACTAACAATAATTGGCTTACAATGTATTATATAAAAATGCATTAAAAACAGTAGATTTAAAAATTCAGTAATAAGTTAAATTACATTGCTCACATTGTATCATATAAAAAATGCATTAAAAACAGTTGAATTAAAAATTCAGTAATAACTTAAAGTATGAAGGAAAAAAAAAGAAAAAGATTGTAAGTTATAAAATGGTGATAATCAGTTTGTCAGTGAATTGAGAAGAGAGAAGAAATGAAGAGTGAAAAGTGGAAGAGAGGGAGAGGGAAAGGATAACGAGAGAAAAAAGAGTTCAATTCATGACAAAAAAATGTAAGCAAATGAACGAGAATTGAGTTGATTCAGCTTAATGAAGCATTGTAAAAGTAAAATACACATAATACGGAAATGTCAAATGATACATTAATACGAATGCCATTATGGAATTGTTATTATACTGTTTAAAATTGGTGAATATCAATGACCTATACATGTTGGTGAACATTATTAATGAGTAATTATCACATTGTCAGAAAATTGAGAAGAGGAAATACAAGACAGAAATAGAGAAACAGTGGGAGAGAGGAGGAGGGAAAGGAGAAGGAGAGAGAAAGAGCTAGAGAAAGGGAGGAAGAGAGAGAGAGAGAGAGAGAGAGACGGAGAGAGGGAGAGAGTTAAAAAAATGACAATACATAAAACAGATCTAACAAGATTTCAGTTGATCGAATTTAGCAAACGAACAAGAGAGGGAACTGTCGATTGTTTGTAACGCTGGGTTCTGCAACGTGGAAGGGACAAATGATCGGAGTTTCTTAAACTGCGGCAAGTATTCACATGGCGCGGTTGTGGCAGGAGATGGCGGTGTCTTTGAGAACCCAGAACTGATTTCGCAAATCGCGTGAGGATCTCAACACGTCTGCTATCAAGAGATGAAATGTCAAATTGGTGAAGAAGGTCATCATAGTGAGAGTCAGTCGGGTAACAAATCATGCGAAGAGCTCTCTTCTGTACTCGTTCAATTTCAGCAGACTGGCGCAGGGTTAAACTTGTTCCCCAAACAGGTACTGCATCAGCGCTCAAAATACACGGGGGCGGTGGGCGATTCGCCCCCGTGAGCTACATAATCGCCCCCGTCAGGTTGCTCACGGGGGTGATTGCAAAATATAAAAATCGCCCCCGTGAAATTATAAAATAAAGATTATCTTTTCTGTTATAACTTTAACACAATATTGAGTTTCAATTTTCAAATGAAATGGAACTTAGATTAGCGTGCAAAATTTCTTGTTTTATGAGTAGGCCTATTATTACAGATTCAGCTCACAGTGCAGTGCCGCCGTCAGCAGTGGTTATAGGCCTACTGCGCCCTTAGTAGCGGTACGTGTGCACGCTGCCGCGCTATGTCTGCTGGAGCTGGAAGCGATCGCGCAAGGGCAGAAACATGGTCATGGAGAAGTTTTTCGTTGTGAAAGCGTTAACCCGCTGAAATCTGGTGATTTCAAATGACTAGCAAATAATGAACCTCGACCAGTAAATCAATATTAGGGACTTTTAGATTTGCACGATGGGAACGTGGACTGAAACGTGTGACCTCCTTTTAAGGCAGTGCCAGTGCTTAAAAGGACGTCACATGTGACTGCCAGTGCCTTAAAAGGACGTAACACGTCCACGTCCACGCAAATCTAAAAGTTCGTATTGAGAAGAAGAGGAAGACCAAGATGTCGTGGAATGATATGGTAACATGGGCAGATCTACGGGGGGGGGGGGGGGGGGGGGTTAGGGGTTTAACCCCCTCCTCCCACACTTGTTGGAATGCTTGACCATATTCACAAAGGCCTTGACCGGCCAGGCTTTGTCGCCAATGTCTGTGCCATCGACTTTTGTAAAGCTTTCTTTTAAACTTCTTGGTGTTATCGTTCAGGATGATCTAAAATGGAAAGAGCAGGTGAAACGCATGGTTGGAAATGCATCACGTCGCCTCTTCATTCTATGTAAACTCAACAAGTTTGGTGTCAAACCGGAGGATCTCGTGTTCATATACTCTGTGTACATACGACCAATACTAGAGTATGCAGTACAGGGCTCAAATTAATTTTTTGTCCACGGGGGCTCTTCCCCCAAAAAACATTCACATTCACATACAGATGGAGGGAGAATCTCACTTTGCAACTTACCACCAAAAACACTGCAAGAATTTCTACATATGAAGGAAGGCTGCAATTACAGTTAAGTGCAGAAAAACCACCGCTGGCACTAGACCGAAAGCTTCAGTCTCTATACCGGAGGTCTAGTGGAGCCAGACGTAGTCTCAGTGGAACAACCGACGATTATAGAGACTGAAGCTTTCGGTCTACGCTGGCACCAGTTGTAAGGACCCACACAAGACAAAAGTGGTCTGACATGTTTGATGACTTGAATAGGCACTAGAATAGAATAGGCAATAGAGAGGAAGAGTGTGTGTGTGTGTGTGGTGCTATGGCAGGTAATGTGAATGACGATGAATGAATAGGGACAGAACAATAGAAGCCAAGAGCTAGCAGACATGAGAAAATGAATGTAGGTCAGAAGTGCACTGAAGCATAACGGAGTGGAAAGCTAAATGTACAGTGTAAAATAAACAAGTATACCACTTGCATCAGTAAAATTAAAACCTTACACTAATTTTGCAGACACGTACTCAAAGTTAATTACAAAAATAACAGGTAGCTAATTTTGCAGACATGTAAGATCATTAAAGTAAATTAAAAACAGTTGAGGACCTAGGATAGAACCTTGTGGTACACCATGTGTTAAACTTGGATGAATATAGACCTATATTGAGTTCTATTGCAAAGATTACTTTCAAACCAAGATGACAGACAAATTGGAGTGTTGTTCTAGTTTCCAAGTGGTAAGTCATCACACCGATTACTGAGCTGGGAGACATTGCCAGGCATAGTGCCAGGTGGAGGGGCATAAATCGAAACTTAAAAAAAAAAAAAAAAAAAATATCTAGGGTCTAGATCTAGTCTAGACCCTAGATCTATATTAAAAAAAAAAAAAAAAAAAAACGGGAAAACGAAACCGTCAAATTGAAAACGGAATCCGCCATGGGCGGTCGGATACCGGATGGTTAAACTTTGACTACAGCACTACTTATAGGCTCTGCATGTACTAAGCCATGCAGGTCAACTGTTGTTAGTTACTGTGGCATCAACTTACCGACAATCACTCAGGTAAAAGAAAATCACAGAACTATATTCACCTACCTAGTGCTCAAGTACTACAATGCAAACACAAGGCCACAACAATATCAAATAGGACTTACAAACACTGGGCTACAGGCTGATACAGGCAACGTTTACAGGCAATTAGTACAGCTCAGCTCACCAATAGAAACTTTACACATAGGTCTAGGTCTAGACCTACACACAAAACATTGCGTTGGCATGCGTGTAGGATGCCGGATAAGGCAAATAGTCTGCACTCCCTGAACCGTACTATAACTATAAGCATAATACGGCAGAATTATACAAGGTCGTGTTTAGCTGTAATTCTTCATCCTGTCTATGCGTATGAAAGGACATTATTTCATGACAGGAAGTAAAAACTTACCGATTCATCGACGTACACACATACATGCAGCAGACGAGGAAAACGTAACCAGTATGACTTTAGCCGCATGTACCATATAGTGTACAGTATTAGGGGAAATCCCCAAACAGCTGTCATTGCAGGTGACACGACATTTGCTCCTGCGACAATTGCTCCGGGCTTTATTTCGTCTAAGATGTAGGGTTAGGGTTAGGGTTTCAATAGGGTTTTATGTTAGGTTTAGGGTTAGGTTTAGGGTAGGGTATAGTGTTGAATCCAGGGTTGAAGTTAGCCATTCGATTAGTGTATGAAATTTACAGCGGAGCAATTGTCGCCGGAGCAAATGTCATGGAATCGTCATTGCACGATCAGGAGTCGAGTGATGATGGTGATCGTGTTGACATCTCCTCCTCCTCCTCCTCCTCCTCCTCCTCCTCCTCCTCCTCCTCCTCCCCCTCCCCCCCCCCCCCCCCCCCCCTCCCCCTCCTCCCCCTCCTCCCCCTCCTCCCCCTCCTCCCTCCTCCCCCTCCTCCCCCTCCTCGGCCCGGCCCCTCCTCCCCCTCCTCCCCCTCCTCCCCCTCCTCCCCTCCCCCTCCCCCCTCCTCCTCCTCCTCCTTTTCTTCTTCTTCTTCTTCTTCTTCTTCTTCTTCTTCTTCTTCTTCTTCTTCTTCCGTCTTTCTGCTTTTTCCTCTTAGTTTTGTTTTGCTATTTGATTATTTTGTTTTGAAAATATGGGAGCATAAACAGTAAAGTATAGTCAAAGCAAAATAATTATTATATTTATAATACTCCAAGTCATTTATTTTTCTTTGCAAGAAGTTGAGAAGTTTCTGGAAAATTATCACAAGAATTCAATATTACAACTTTAAAATAAAAATTGAAATTGATATGAAAATGGTATTGACTGGATATAAAATACATAACAGAAAATTTACCTTATTTAATTTCATTATGCACAACTTGTAATATACAAAGATTACGTAAAGCGGAACTCAGTGGGGAAGTACCAACCAATCCAAAGAGGTATATAAATAATTTGATTTCATCATTGAAATCCTATTCTAAATACAACAGAATTATTAAATACTTCGATAATGAAAAAGCTAAGAAAGTAATAGAAATGTTATAATGATCATTTAAAGAAATTATCTTGATCTTGTATATATTTCATATGTTTCGTTTTACTTGTATTGTAAATAGTCTATACGTATTTTAAATGGGATAATAAAGTTCCGGCTGAGGAGGTAAAGAAACAAAAATAATACTCAAGTCACTAACATTAGAAGAGAACCAGTTAATAGCAGTGAGGCAAAGTAGTCTAGTGGATAAGACTGATCGCTTCATTTGTAAATGTACTCGGTTCGATTCCTAGCTATACGCCTTTTTACCCCATGTTATTTGTATCATTTTTATTCTTCACCCCATGATATTGACTTGTCCATTTCTTTTTTTATTGACATGTTATACTCTTTCTTTAACAACCGACTCTCTGAATTAGGTAGAATACGTCTTTTGCTACATCTACGACAAATTACAATACGTATCAATGTAAAAAAAAAAAAAATACATGGAGATTAGCAGTGTATACTGACTAGTGTCTCGTGGATAAGCGATCGGGTTCGATACCCAGCTAGTGCATTAGTTGTTTTAACCTTTGAAAAAAGATGTTAAATCCATCTTTATCTCACTCAAAGTACATATGTATTGCTATTCGTTTAATTGATCGATACAATAAGCTTACAATGAACTTATAAACAAAGTAAAGTATTATACAAAGTACGGGCGGCAATATTCTGTTTTACCCACCAAACATAATTACAGTCAATACTTTTAACAGTCCGAATGAGGGAGAGAGAGAGAGAGTCAGAAAGAGACAAGGGAAGAAAATCCGAAACACCCCAGGGGCGGATCTACGGGGGGGTTAAGGGATTTAAACCCCCCCCCCCCCCCCTCTCTTGGGATGACCAACATCAAAGAACAACAAAAAGAGTAAAACATTCACCGAGTGAAATATTGTTCGGCGCGATTTCAAATATCGGTACCCCACACCTCTTGGAAAATCCTGGATCAGCTACTGGGTCTTACCCCCCCCCCCCCCTTTAGGAAAAAGCTCGATCCGTTTTGCACCCCATTAATCAAATAAATTCTTAGCATCTCAATCTACATAAGAGAGAATTAATTCAAATATTTTGCCGGGAAAGCCAAAAATTAAAAAATAGTCATTTTTTCCAAAGAAGAAAATAGGGACCTATTGTGGGGGGGGGGGGGATTTGGAGTGGTCGTTCCTCAAAAGGGCCTTTCATGATTAGGGGGGGGGGAGCCTGGCGCAGCTAGTTGACGACTGGCGCAGTCAGCTAGCTGTTTTAAAAGTGTTATTCACTTTCTACAGTCCCATTCAATACAGTTTGTAAACAACTTTGCAACATGAAAGCAATGATGGACAGAGTTTTACTTACTACAGAGTTGTACGCCCTAAACTTGCACGAGGTGATACAAAGGTCTTTCACATTCAAATCTGTACAAAGCACCCCCCCCCCCCGGCCTGAAAAATAAAAGACCTTCTGAGGCCAAATACAAAAAATTCTGAAAGAAAATGTACCGAGCTGCCATTTTGAAAACATAAAACAAAAAAAGACCTTCTCCTTCTTTTTTTTTGCTTCAAAAAGGCAGGACGCTAAACATGTTTTTATTTTATTTGATGTGGCCTAATATGGGCTTATACACCTCGCCTGTATACCCGAGCAGAATCATTATGTGCTCAACAAAAACCTACACATTTGGGTAAAGAGGTCCATTATTTTGTTTGTTTTCATTGACAGTGTAGATAGCAGGTATATTGGATGTTCTGTTTCAAATACAGTCAAGATTGCCGAGCAATGAATTATCTACTGCTACTTGTCCTAAAACTATACTGCAGTGGTACGCTGATTTGGGCAACACGTTGACCTAAAGGGGGCGCTGGAGCCATAGAAGAGCCGGGTTGGGTTGATTAATTGTACGGTTATTACTTTGACTTGGTATAGGCCTACACCTAAAAGTTAAATAGCATTAATTATGTTTCCAATAGTATGCCGGGAAGCGTTATTTTTTTCGGCGGCACAGATTAGGGTTAGGTGCGTGTTGAGCCTATTGGAAAGTTTAGGGTTAGCATTAGGGTCAGGGGCGTAAATCCGTACCGAGGAGTGGGGGGGGGATGATCGGCGATAGCCATATACTAGTACGAGCACACGCCCACACTAATTTACGCAATGACGCGCGATCGCGCACGCACGAACACACAACACACAACACACGCACACACACACGCGCATGAACATGAAACAAACACACATACCCAAACACATGTACATAAATTTATACACGCATACATACATGCACGCACATGCCAAATTTAACAACCATAAAGTAAAAGAATTGGACATATTTCGAAATACTGACAGCTGCAAACTATAGTGTGCTTTGTAATATGCTTTGGTTTGTATTATTCTATTATTGCAAATTATGTCCTGAAGTATGTTAAACTTTAACTTATGTGTATTTTACTTTCTCTCTTGAATTGCTTGAAGGTGTACGTCGTATGCCCACAATTATACAATCTCCACACAACTGCGCCTGAAGTGCCAGTTTTGACAGACATGGCGCATTATAAATGTTCACTATTATTTAATATTTATTATTATTATTAGTCAAAACACATCTTTCACATGATGGGTAATAAGAGCTTCCATTTCACTTTGTGAGAGGGGGGGGGGATGTTTCCAAAACTGGTGTTTACCTTTAATTTATATTTTTCGGGGGTAGGGAGGTTGGCGGCTGTCACAGTTTCGATGAGCTTCCGTGTCATGGATGAAATGAGAAACGTTGATTGTACGATGACGATGTGTTGTTCCACAAGTTTCACTAGACGTTACCAATTACTCCGCCGATGCCTTGTAATAAAATTGTAAAAATAACACAAATGAAAACGACGTATAGTTCACTGTTACATGAAACGTGGGGGTCTGCGCTTGAAATATAAATACAATATAGCAATACTTATGATACAGCGTGCATGAACATGGGAAAGATAATCCTAGGAGAGTTCCCAACTGGTCAGCTAAAGATTCTTAATTAGGCTCAGCCTCAGGAGGGCGATAATATTCATGAAATTACGTTGAGGGCCACCGTTCGTTACACATGATAATAATACATTTATGAAAACAATTGTATCTTTATTTTTTTCTCGTTAGTCGTCATCATTTTTTTTTTTTTCAGTATCGTTTTTTGTTTTGTGTGGTAGCTTTACGAGCCTACTGATATGGGTATGGTGCGGAAGATAGTAGGCCTAGTAATAATAATAATAACATTTAATTTTTTATATAGCGCTTATTATGTCTCTAAGCGCTTTACAAATATACTATTACCCCGGTCATTGGATTCATGCTTTCCCGCACACACTGTGTGCACAGTCTACACTCCCTGGAGAGCATTCCAGCCGGGCGTCACTTTACGCTCACAAGCTGTTTGACCAAAAATGACGGCCGCATCCTACCGGGTAACCATTTGACACCTGGGTGGAGAGTAGCAAGTGCAGGTTAATATCTTGCCAAAGGATATTAGTGTCATGTCGGGATTCGAACCCTAGACCTTCGCATCTCCATGCCTTTTATTTTCTCGTCCTTTCCTCTTCTCATTTTCTCTCCTTTCTGGCCTTTTCTGGATTTGTCTACATTCTGACTACTCAGTGAGATGAGTGGGGCACGTCCACCCCTACCCAGTAACTTAAGAAATGGTAACATATAATAATGTTGAGCTAACAGTAATTCAAAATGCGAGTAATACATTATAAGTAATTCATGGTAAATCTTACTTTTTCCCCTCAGCGGAGGCAAGGTGTCCTTAGATCGATTATGTCCATGAGCCCAGCACA